CAGGACATGACTTTCAAGAAGGAGCCGGCGGGGGCTTTCCCCTCCGCTCCCTCCTCGCAGAGGAGCCCCTGGGGCTTTTTGCAGTCCCTAGTGAGCATCAAGCAAGAGAAACCCAGCGAGGAGGAGGAGCAGCAGCCGCCGCAGCACCATCACCACTACGGGGGGCTCTTTGGGGGAGCGGCAGAAGAGAGGCCCCCCGGCCTGGGGAGCAGCAGCGGGGAAGGAACTGGCCAGGGTGTGATTCAGGACCTCAGCCTTCTTCACCACCTGCACCAGCATCCCCACCGAGACCTGTTACTGAGTGGCAGAGGCGAGGGCGCCCCTGGGAGCTCGGGTGAGCCAAAGCATGACGCCCAGGTCAAGAAGGCAAAGAGGCCAAAGCCAGAAACTCAGGGAATCAAAGCCAAGCGGAAGCCAAGTGCTTCATCAAAACCCCCCCTGGTGGGAGATGCGGAAGGTGCCATTGCGTCCCCCAGTCAGAAACCTCACGTCTGCGAGCACTGCAGCGCTGCCTTCAGGAGCTCTTACCACTTGCGCAGACATGTGCTCATTCACACGGGGGAAAGGCCTTTTCAGTGCAGCCAGTGCAGCATGGGTTTCATCCAGAAGTACTTACTGCAGAGACACGAGAAGATCCACAGTAGGGAGAAACCTTTTGGGTGTGACCAGTGTAGTATGAAGTTCATCCAGAAGTACCACATGGAAAGACACAAGAGGACACACAGTGGAGAAAAGCCATATAAATGTGACACTTGTCAGCAGTATTTTTCAAGGACTGATAGACTGTTGAAGCACAGAAGAACATGTGGTGAAGCCATAGGTAAAGCAGGTGCTGGAATGGAGCCTGGATCATCAAATAACATGAGTAGCTTGGCTGCGTTGTCTCAGGGAAATATAAGTTCCTCAAGGAGAAAAAGTAAAACAAAAAGTATATCCACTGAAAACAAAGGAAATAAGTGTAGCAGCAAAGTAACTGAATCTCAAGTTACAAGTAATGTGGCCATGCCAAATTATGCAGTTGATATTCCTATTGTGTCTTCCAGTGGTGGTCTAGTTGGCACAGGCATAGAAGAACTTCAGAAAAAGGTGCCAAAATTGGTCTTGAAAAAAGGAAGCAGAAAACAGACAGACAAAAATTACCTTAATTTTGTATCACCACTGCCAGATATTTTGGGGCAAAAACCACTGTCGGGGAAACAGAGTGGCTCTCTTGGCCTAGTAGCCAATACTGGTGTAGAAGCTATTGGGCTTCTCCAAAGTACAGGTGGTAAACCAAGTCAAATAAGTAGCAATTATGATGATGCCATGCAGTTTTCGAAGAAAAGAAGATACCTACAGACTGCAAGCAGTAACAGTGCCTTTTCAGTTAATGTTGGACACATGACTTCCCAGCAGTCCGTCATCCAGTCAGCAGGTGTTAGTGTTATGGATAACGAAGCTCCATTATCTCTTATTGATTCAGCATCTTTAAATAATGAAATCAAGTCTTGCCACGACAAGTCTGGTATTCCTGATGAAGTCTTGCAGAGCCTTTTAGACCAGTACTCTCACAAATCAGAAAGCCAGAAAGAAGATCCTTTCAGTATAACTGAACAGCGTGTGGACTTGCACACCTCAGGAGAACATTCAGAGATAGTTCAGGAAGAAAACTTGAGCCCTAACTCTCAAACTGTTTCAAATGATAAGGCAAGCATGTTGCAAGAATACTCCAAATACCTCCAACAAGCCTTCGAAAGAACAACCAATAGCACTGGTTTTGCTTTTGGACCCAGTTTCCAGTTTGTTAGCTTGTCTTCTACTCTCCATAACCACACTCTGTTTCAAGACAAACAGATATACACTACATCTCCCCTTGAGTGTGGCTTCAGCCAATCTGTTACCTCAGTATTGCCAACTGCGTTGCCAAAACCTCCATTTGGGATGTTGCTTGGATCTCAACCAGGCTTTTATTTGTCTGCCTTGGAGGCTACGCATCAACAGTTGACTCCTTCTCAAGAGCTGGATGATCTCATTGATCCACAGAAAAACTTGGAGACTTCATCTAACTACCAGTCAACATCTCAGAAACTGACTGGCCAGAAGGAACAGAAAAACTTAGAATCCTCAACGAGCTTTCAGATTCCATCTCAGGAGTTAACTAGCCAGATAGATCCTCAGAAGGACATAGAGCCTAGATCAACCTACCAGATCGAGAACTTTGCACAAGCGTTTGGTTCTCAGTTTAAGTCGGGCAGCAGGGTGCCAATGACTTTTATCACTAACTCTAATGGAGAAGTGGACCATAGAGTAAGGACTTCAGTCTCAGATTTCTCAGGGTATACAAATATGATGTCTGATGTAAGTGAGCCATGTAGTACACGAGTAAAAACCCCAACCAGCCAGAGTTACAGGTAAGGTCCCAACTGTGACTAGGCTGTGGGGTCTTATTAATGTAATTTTGTTTTACTTTGACAACACTGCCATTGGAATGTTTCTGCACGGTCCTGTTAAGAATAATGTAACATGCCCTTTCAATGCAACTTTTCATATTTAGTTTGTTAGTGTGATTTTTATTTTTTTTTTAGATCTGTTTATTATGGTTTTAAATCAAAAATCAATAGATTAAAATAGTGTTTTTGTTCAAGTGACAATGTTTAGCAATCAAATTTATGTTATGGAGGTCGTCAGGGAATAGCCCAAAAGTTTAAAATGCAAAAAATTAACTTTGTTCCTAGGACTAAGGTTTATTCTAATTGCTTTACTCTCAGGAAAGTGTAATGAAGCATGGGAATTCTATGCACCACTAGTGTATTGGAACTTCCAATTTACAAATAGTGACAAATATGATGAAGGGATCTGTGACATTTCAAATTGCTGTCTCTTATGTCTGGGCTGATCTGAAAGAATTTTGCTACCTAAATCTTGTTGCTTTTAAAGTACTCCTGTTCTTCCGGGTGATGTTCATTCCAGGCAGGTGGAGCAAATATTCTTGGGTCTGTACGAAGAGCCCAGAATGGTAGCTTTAATATGAACAGTAATATCCCCAGAACTCTTGTGGAAGACTGTAGTTCTTTAAAGAGATTCTGTTGACACAAACTGTGAGAGATGTCTGTGTCTGGTTCCTGTCATTAGAACCCTAACATGAAGCTACAGTCATACTCCAGATATGCTTTTGGGATACATATTTTTTTTTATACATGGTTTAAAAAAGACAAGTCTCTTGCTCTTCCCCTTTTCCACATTCTTTAGTGTATAAGGTTTCCTCTCTTTTGTTGTGCTCCTGATTCTTCTGGACTTCATCTTGGGGTTTTCTCACCCCTCTTAATTTACACCTTTTATTCTCCTGCTTCCCTACTCATTCTCTCACCCAAAGTTAATAGCTAGTATTTTAAAATATTTACATTCCAGAAAGCGCATATCTTACGTACTTTCTGATGTCTTAATGACATCGGATGATGAACAATGAACAGCCACATGTTGTAGAATTATGTCAAGGTTTCCATGTACGATAAGAAATAATATACTCCCAATTGTACATACTAAGGCCCCTGTCCTGCATCAGGATCAGCTAACATGGACCCCTGTGCCCAGCAGTGTACCAGTTGGTGTCACTGGAGCTCTTTATGGATGTAGGGGTTTGCAGCAGTTCATCATTGCAGGCTTTTAGGGCCTAAGGCTGCAATTCCATCAAAGGTTTCTGGTGATGACATCAACTACAAGAGTAGAACTTGAGTGGCTTGTTAATATCAACAGAACTTTTATTTGGAATTATTGCCTTACTTTATGTATATTTTGTGGTACATTATTTATTATATGTGAATCCTGATCGATGCCTGTGGAGCCACGGAAACCTTCTACTGGTGGCCATTCAAAGCTGCTGAAAGGCAGTGGCACTGCTCTAAACCACTTTTTGCAAATGTATTTTTTGATTAGTTTTTTAATGTGATTTTGGTGATGTTTATGCTGATGGTTTTTTATGTACTCTTGGTGATGTTTCAGTCTTATGTACTTTTCTGGTATCAGGAAAGTACCAGTGGTTGTTTGCAGTCTTATTGTGTAATCAGCCTATTACAGGCTTCCATGTATAATAAAGTTATTAACATTGTGCAAGTGTTAAACACTTCTGTTATGAAAGTGGTGTATTATTAAATGAATTGTTACAAAAATCCTGGGTAATTTCTCCCATTGTCCCTCACCACTAAAAATTGAAACCTGAGCCTACTTGTAATATCCTTTTACTAAATGAACTGTTTTTTTTCCTTACTAACCTAGAGTTTGTTCTCATAGAATCCATATAACTCCATTAACTTTTTCTTTATACGTGATTATGTATTTCACCACATTTCAGTTTAAACAAGCAAACAGCAACTGTTCGCTAACAGCTTTTTATCAGGGATGGAATAGTCCATAACCATTGTGTTGGCTTTTTCAGTACCTTTTGTTTCACAGAGGTTATAATTTACATTCTTTATATTGTGTGTAGTAGAAGTTGCATATGTATTGTTCTGGCCATTCGCTTTAACTTAATACTAATAAACTCCATTATTCAGAAAATCATAAAGATACCACTTCTGTTATCCAGCCATACATTTGAGAATCTATGAAGGAAATGTTAGGAGTTAAAATTTTGAGAAGGAATAATATGACTTAGTGGCATGTTTTCAGCTTGTTTTCTTCCTTAAGTTTCTTTTTTGATCAAATAATCTGAATGCACTGTTTTAGAAATCAGGGTTCTCTCTCATACCTTTAGCTTCCAAGGCAAAAACTAATGAATTTCCTGAAGTTAAACTGTTTGTACAACCTCATCTTTTTAAACCTGTGTTTTTATAGATGCAATTTTGGTTAAAAATATATACATTTAATATTGTTAACTTCAAAGATTTTCTGTAATTGCTGGAAATCCAGAATGACACATATAATACAGTTTTGTTCAAAGTAAAGATTTCAGAAAGTTCTCTTGCTTTATTTTTGTTTGGTTTTGTTGGATTTTTTTTTCTCCTGCTCTAGTGTCTACATTATGAGAAAAGCCTAGTAAAAATAATATTACAAAGCATTTAAAAACATTTAAGATAATCTGAAGATAGTTCTTGGACTTCCTCAATTTGTGTTTTTGTTCAACTTCGCATATGAATGTAGCTAGCAGTGCTAAATGTCTCAGAATGGCTGAAAAGTAGAGTATTGAAGAGTGGAAGACAGCAATTTGAATCAAGGCAATGACATAGACAAGGGAGAAATTATTTGCTTGCTGAAAAGCAAGTAAGGATGAAAACTTTCCAAAGTAAATGTCAGATATATTTAATGTTTAATATTGAGAGCACTGCTAGGAATTATTTCAGAATATCTGAGGGAGATATCATTGGAATTTTGTTTGTTCTTTCCACAGCTTAGCAGTAATTTGAAAATGTTTCTAAATAGAACAGAACTAGACCTCTTCCTAATTTAACATGGAGTAGAAATTAATTTTTCATTAAATAATACAGGTTAAGGATATGGTAAAATGCCTAGAAATCAGGGTATGTGTGTGTCTGCTAAATATTAGAAAGAACTACATAGTTGTCTAAAACTTTAGGGGTGTGGCAGTGAGAGAAGGAAAAAAAAGCAAAACAGCCCTGGATTTTTTTTCTCTGCAGTTCCTGAATTTGGCTTTTTTTTTTTTTTTTTTTTTTTATTAAGTAATTCTAGGAGGGGAATGATAACCTGTTTCCTACTACTAACAGGAGCATAAAGAAAAATAAATATAGGTGGTGATATAAAATTGCATGTAAACTGATACGATTGTTATTGTAGTAGCTCATGTAACATGTTTTTGCTTTCAGCAAGTGCGTTATGGTACTGTGAACTCTGAATGGGTTTGGATGTCCCAAGCCCCTGAAAGTACATCTGACGTGCCTGCATATAATCGTAAGAGCTAGCTAAATATCTGTAGCAGTTCCTGAATTACTGAAATTGGTTACAAATTTAAGAGTAGTGGGTGAAATACTAAGAGTAAGAAATTGGTGAAATGAAAAATATTGGAAAATACAACGGTGTGAAAGGAGATTACAATTACAGGTTTTTGATGAAGAAAAGCTGCCTGATGCCTCATGGAGACCTTGAGAAGATAGAGGGATAATTATGTGTATTTCATTAGTGATTTTTTTTTTTTTTTTCATTGTTTCAATTGTTTGGATCCCTCTCCCTGCTCCCCAATGTTATATGCATAAAAACAGCATCTTTGTCTTGAGTGATGCTTCTGCTTTTTTTTCCCACAAACTAGAAATCAGTGTTGTTCATGTGAAGTTGCAGTTGTGATCCTGGAAGTGTTTGTTATAAATGAGAAGATGTGTGAGAATGTGTAAGTTACTACCTTGCTGGTTTTTATTGTAAGTGTTGAAGGGAGTCAGGTCACTTGAGAATCGAAGATGCTGTTTTCAGCCCCTGCTGACTATCAGCCTTAACCATTGAGGTGGAATTTTCCAGGGTTTGTGTCACACTTGTGTAGCACTGTATTATCACTGTGAGAGTGACAGAGCACTGGAACAGGCTGCCCAGGGAGGTTGTGGAGTCTCCTTCACTGGAGACATTCAAAACCCACCTGGATGCGTTCCTGTGTGATGTACTCTAGGTGACCCTGCTCTGGCAGGGGGGTTGGACTAGATGATCTTTCAAGGTCCCTTCCAACCCCTAAGATTCTATGATTCTATGATTTTGTTTTTCTTGACTTTCCAGTGGATTTGGCAACTTTAAACCCAAGGTTGTCCTAAGTAATAGTATAATGCCACACTAGAAAGCTGCCTCTATACTTGGGGATTGGTCTGAAATTTGATAAAATATTATCTAGCCAGACTCAAAATGAAGAAAGAATTTAGAATTCATTTAATAAGTTTTAAAAATTATATTAATATATTCTTACCTTGAGATGTATTTTAAATAGTTAAATAGTATTTTAATGTATTTTAAATAGTTTAAATAGTTTTAAATAGTTTACTCGTAGAAGCTCATGACCCCATCATGTCTGAAGAGGCAGTAGGCAATCACACCATCTTAGTAGAGAAAACAAGGCCTTCCTTTTGCAGCTGGGCTGTGGTCAATTATTTGGAAATGTGAGAGGCAGCACAGCAATCCCTGTTTCTTAGAACACCTAGGGTTTTTTTTAAGGACCTACCATTTCCAAATATGAATTCAGGTTGTGAAAAGGAAATGCAGATATTTGTGCCTAAATTCTGCTATATCAGGTCTGGCCAGCTTTAGTCCAGAGGGTTATTAAAATGCAAACAATGGAGATGTGTCACTAAAAATACTCAGCCTGTGTAGCTTAGGAAATTTGTCAACCTTACAAAGTTAGGTCAAATTATATCATGAAGCAGTTCATGTACTTGATCCATCAAACCAGTGACATGTTCAGTCACTAAACATGTGCACTTGGTGATCTTAGTGTAGAGTTAAGGGTGCATGAAATGTATACATGATTTAAAAGTTTATTTCTTGAGTGTTCTTAATTAAAACTTCTGACTTTACTTCTATAATAGTCATGTGATATTAGTCTGGGGAGATTGTCGGTTAAACCAGTTACTCATCTCGAGATGTTAGGACTTAGATTTATTTTTTTTTGAGAGAGAGATTGCAATAATTTTTGTGTAGGTACACTAAATGTGATTGCTTATTTTAGAGTTTGAAGAAGCACTTTAGAAGTATGTTTTTATTTTGTTTTACATGGCTCTGGTAAATCATGCTTCACACAAGTCACCTTAAGAGTGGATGTAATGGATTAAGAGTGCTAGTAGCTAAAGTTGTCAATTTTTACTGTTTTTAACACTTTTCTGGTGCTTGCATGCTCTGTTGTTTTCACAATGAAGCTAAACTAAAAGCTCTGAGAAAGAGGTTCCTCTCATATAGCATAATGAAGTCTTTAAATGGGTACAGTTGTAGGTCATCATGAATAGGAATGCAGTGACCTTTGTCTTGACAATGAAGCTGACACAAGCTTCTCAAAGAGCTGTTCTGTTTTTTTAATTATTTCTCTGCCAGAAAAGACGCAAATAAAGCAAAGGATCCGTCTTCTCCCATCAGTGAACAAAATCAAAAGATAAGAAAATGTATTGTAAATTGCCAGTTTGGAAAATCTAGAAATGGAGCTTCTTGTCAGTATAGATATTATTCAGGAGTTATGTGT